CTTTCGTGGGTAAATTTCTTTCAATGAAGGGATTAAAAAATACAAATAACAACGGCTGGTCCGTTTCAATTACGCAGAATTCCAGATATTGCACATCTGTGTGTAATTGCACATTTCGAGTGGCAGAGCAGTGATGATGTGCGGGGAATTTTTGGAATTCGTCAATTAGCAATGCAGATGTTGAATGGCAGAGTTTTATGATTGTCAACCATCCCATCGATCAGGCAATAGCAAGCTACCACTATCACTTAACCATAACAGTAGTACTAGTAGGCCATGTGTGACAATAGATTAGAGAAAAGGAAAAATGTGGAAACCGAGGTGATGAAATGTCACACGTGTGTTTTTATTGGCAACACAGATTAATTCGATACGCAATGGAATGGAATTGAACACTTGTTGTCGTGGTGGCAAATAGGTATTTTGGAATAAATTATGACCTTTTTATGATTTGCAATATAGAGCTTAAGGTTATACCTAAATATGCATTTGGTTAACACATTGTGGGTGTAATTGAAGACAGATGTTTTGATCTCAGTGATCATTATAATGTGGTGTTATATTCTGGATTTTCAATGATTATTGATGTCAATTGAACTATATGTATGCTCTTTTATTGGAAAGTCCAGAGGAATTTTGAAAAAGTTTAATGGGAAAATCCCAGAGAATGTAATCTGGCTTAGACATAAGTGCCAAAAAAATATTGAAAAATAAGTTCAGAATTTAAGTTTTCAGAACCGCTGAATTTCAAATCAATTGATCCAGAAAAAATATATAAGGGCTTTATTTTAGAAAAATTATTTTTTTTTTTCAATAATCTAAAAAAATTGCACGCATATCTTTATTGGATTTAATTTCCCCTATTATTATACCTTTATATATTGAGCATCAAAATGCAAATTTCCCCAAGGGATATTTGCATTAATTTCTCCTATTTTTAAACACTACATATTTTAGCTTCGGATATGGTCTCCTGAACATTATGCCACTATTACATATTATGGGGAATTTCAATCCATAAAAGCCACAACTAACATAAAACCCCCTATTTTTTGATACAACCAATCAAAATCGTTGTGGTTAGGGAATTTCCTCTTCATTCCTATGTGACCCCTAATATTTCTCAATATTGTTGCTTGTTTGTTCACATTTCCCCTTCATACTGACGTGAACATAGGGAAATTCTCCTTCGATTTAATATGAGTAAGGCTATTTCCATAATATTCCCACTATATCGGTAACCATATCCAACAGAAGAAAGGATATACTCTTCGCTCCCCTTGAACATTTTTTCCAATGGGTTTTTTTTCATTTGTTTGATGGGGTTTCCAGCCATGAGGGGTAATCAATATAAATCCTTGTATTTTCCTATATGGTAAATCCATTGAAAAGAGGAAATTTTATTTCAATTACAGGGAATTCCCATACAATGTTGGAAAGAGGGAAAATGGTAGGGTTTCAAAATTATGAGGGGGAAATATGGATTTTTGCAATAAGGAGCATATAAAAAAAATCCACTTCATGGATTTTACAATTTAGATGGGAATTTTGTTGTTATGTTTAATAAGGTTCAATATTGGTGGGCATGAGAATATTGGATATCTCATTTATTATTTATTGAAGGGAGATTTAATATTTAAAATAAAAATGAAATAGCAAATTAACTTCTCAAAAATTTAATTTGAGCAACTGGAGAGAGACATTTACCTCATATTAATAATTTCTCGTACATAAACAAAATTGGTCCATGTTTTTCTGCAACCACCATCTTAGAGCAGGGTCCATCTATCAAAAAAAAAACAACATTTTATGTAAAATATACAACAATTTGGATGTTGCCCGGCCCCAACTGTGTGTACTTCCCGGGAAGCCGGGGCCGAACAAATTTTTGATTTGTTAATTTGTTTTACGTCGTATTTAAATAACTATGAACCACTCCAAAGAGCCTTCTATTAGAGTCAGGGAAAACTCTTGCACTGAACGTTTGTTTGATTTTTTGAGGATCTGCTAAAAATGTATCGTATTTTTGCAGTAGAAGCTTCATTTGTGCAAAAATTGTGACTGTCTGGAAAATATGGCGCCCAATTGTTTCGCCTATATCCAAATAAATGTGAACAATCAAATCTAAATTATTATTCTTAGTGGCTAGTAGTCTCGTACATTTTTAATCTATGCAATTATTTTCTAACAAAAAGAGCTATTCTCAGGTTACATATCCAGCAAATTTTCAGAGCATTTAATGGTCTCCCCTTCATCCACAACTTAACCTTGGTTTAACACTCAGAGTCCAATTCTTCAAAAAGCATTATCCATTTTTGTGACTATATACAGAAAATGGCGCCCAATTGTTCCCCATTATTTTCTCTGAACAAAAAAGCAAACCATTATGAATTATCAAATCTAAATATTTTTCTCCAAATTAATCTTAGTCCCGCAAATAAAATTATGCTGGCCATACATATTGGCATCATAACTATACAATCTTCAGAAGAATCGGATAACTGACTTCCAGAATACGAGGTCTGCTGTTTTGATCTTTCTCTTACCGAAAATGGTTAGAAAACTATAAAAACATTTAATGACTTTCCTCTCCTTCTATCTCTCCCACAACCAAATCTTGGTATGACCCTCAACAGAATCTTATCCTTCGAACGCATTCGCATTATAAAGAAAATAGTGGCTGTCAGGAGAATATGGCGCCCAATTGTTTCCCCATATTTTCTCTGGAAAAAAACATACCAGTATGAACCATAATATGAACGTTTAATTTTTTTGTTCCTAAGCCCCAGTAGCAATTTTGTCAAATATATACAAATTATATATCCGAGAAAGAGCTTTCTTCAAATGAAATTATCTTCTTTTTGGGCCGAGATAGTTAGAAAACTATCAAAGCAGTTAACAACACACAACATAATCGTGGTAGCGGAATCTTTTACTTCGAAAAGCTATAAAAGAAAATTATGATCATTTGGAGGAAATGTCGCCCAATTGTTTCCCCTTATTTTCTTATTTGCCCAAGTAAAAACAACTAAGTCAAAATATTTGATGACTCCTGCCGTTTTAATCAATGCAATTATTATAAGCTACTGGAAAGTACTTCCGCCAAGTGGAATAATGCTGATGATAGATATAAACATTGAAACTTGGTTTTATGACTGTCAAAAGAATATGGCGCCCAATTAATAAGGATATAGCTTAACACAGAATTTTGGCGAGAACCCGCTTGAGGAACGAGCATTTGAACATCTGCTTGCCATTTGTTTATACGAAAGCTAGATATGGCAATCAAAGATTTTTTAAATAAAGTTTCACAAATGGCGCCCTACTAAAAAAAAAAATCAAAAACTTATATCATACTTCTTCAAGGGGACTATGAAAACAAATCAAGTTCTACTGCAATTTATTATCATATCTTTAGATATAGAGCTATGCAATAAAAAATCCACAACTTCAGCTTAAATTGTATCTCGCTTCAACAATTTTTTTGATTAAAATCAAATTCCTAATCACCTTAAGGTTAGAATACATAAAAATCCTTTTCGACTGGCTTAAGTCATCGGCTGCCATCTTCACAAAAGAACTAAGGAACGTAGGGTAAGATAACCTAAAACTCATTTGTTAATTTACGAAGATGCCAGCCTTAATCTAGTCAAAAAAGCATTTATGTATTCTCACCTTTATAAATACGTTAAGTCAGCGATCTTCGATTTCGAGGTTAAAGATATGGGTGGTTTTTACGAACTAAAAAAGAGAAACGATTTCGATCGTTTATTTATTTTTTATGTTGCAGACAAAAAAATTGGAAAATCGATTTTAACCTCTGTGGACTAAACTACGACACAAAAAATCGAAATTCGGAAATGAATTTTTAGCTGATTAGATAAAATTTAAAGACCGAAAGCTGGATTGTGGGGGCACAAATCAAACCAACAATTATATTCTTGGATGTATTGACAAATTTTTAATCCCGAACTAGCCTCAACCTCTTTGAAGGAAAATAATAAGGTTGTTATCAACAGAATTTCTCTTTCGAATGTCCAATTTTTTCGTCATTAATCTGCTAGAGTTCACAAATATTTGAGTTTCTTATAAAATCATTTCAGACTGATTCTATTTAAATTCCTTTTCCAAAATTCCTTTGTTCTCAAAACTCTAACTCTTTGTCATCATTTTTTTTACTTAAATTCATCGTTGCTATTAACAGGTACTTTAACGTGGCAAGATCAGAGCAGATATCAACCTGTAACCGGCATCAGTACAAATCAGAGTAAATCTCCTTACTAAGGGGATGCCTTGCATGAGAGCAAAACAAACTCTTTTATTTCAAAATCCCTCTCACCATGAGTTGAAAACGTGAAAATTCCTCCAAAGAGATGAGATCTTGTTTGAAAAATATCTACAAATATGCTGCCCCAAAGAATGTATGCTCTTCTTTGAATATCTCAAATCAAGAAAACCCCACTAAATATTTCTCATATTCAAAAAATTATTTACTATGGCTCTCCTGCACAGCTCACGGTCTTCATTAAATTCACATTAAACGGCTTGCTCGTCGCTCCCATTAGGCATGACTGGCCGACTGGCGTACACACGACTCTGTATTTAATCGTTAAAATAAATACTCTCCATATGACAATTCTCAGGCGAATGAATAACCAAAAAATTGAGGGGAGAATAGAATTTCCCACGGAATTTTGTAGTGCATTGATTTCTTTTCCCAACCCAAACGAACGGTTGCAATCTCCCAGTCTCTGAGTATCGGGCCGTTGTGTGTGCCATGGAGTGCACAGATGTTTTTGCCTGGGAATACTCTCACAATCCACTCTACACATTTGCTAAGTGCGAAAGCAACGCACTCTGACTCTCCCTTAAACTACTCTCTGCTGCTTGCCATATGCTCTTATCACAGACCCACTGCTAGGCAAACACCAGGCAAAATGTTGTGAGATAGGCGGAGTTAGCTGGCGCAGGTATAAAAGGCCATGCTCTGAGTATGAAGAGCTCACAACGAGTTTGTTACTCAAAGCGTCAAGAATACCAAAAGGAAACGGAAATTTTGAATAAAAATTTGAAAAAAAAAAATAAAAGAGAAAAAAACCAGATTGAAATAATTAACAATCTGTTGAAGACAAAACGCTTAACATACGGATTACGGTCAAAAAAACAAAAAAAAAATTACAGCGCAACACTAACAGAGAAAATATAAAAATCTCAAAACAAGCCAATCTGTGGATTATTAAAACAAAATACAAAAAAAGTGTTGAAATAAAAACAAAAGGAAAAAATTGAAAATATTTTTTCAAAATAAATAAAAAAAGAATTTAGAAAAAAGTGCTGAGTGTGGGTTTTTACAAAATATTGGAATATTGAAAAACCCCAGTCAAAACACAAACCTCGCAATATTTAAAAAAAGAAGCAAATCAATAAATTTTCAAAATTTATTAAAATAAAACTCGCCACGGATTACCAGCGTTTTTCAAGCCCCACAACCCGTTACCAATAACAGCCGCCAAAATTCTACTCAAGGAACGTAAAGACATCATTTCTAAAATGAAATCCTTGACGGCCGTTTGCCAGACCGGTGCCTCAATGCCCGCCATCAATCCCAATGGACGCATAAGCCGTCATCCGCCGCATCGCGGTGATGGTGAAAATGCCGAAATGAAAATGTATTTGTCCAAACTGAAGGATCTGGTGCCGTTCATGCCCAAAAATCGCAAACTTTCCAAATTGGAAATCATCCAGCATGTCATCGATTACATTTGCGATTTGCAATCCGAGCTGGAGACACATCCTGAAATCAATAATTTTGATGCCAGTGCAGCATTGAGTTTTGCCGCCAGCAGCATGCAAAGAGTTTCGTCGGGCAGTGAAGAGGGTGGTGCCGATGAAGATATGGCCGCCGAGGAGGAGGAGGAGGACAGTGAAGTGCAACAGCGTTTGAGTGGAGCCAGTACACAACAACAACAACATCAATCTAGTCCTGCTGCTCAGCGTCAACCTTTGGTTGATCGCCCCACACCCAACACAATTTTGCCACCCGCCTCACAACAACAGCAACAGCGACACCTTAACAACGCCCTCACAACAGTCTCCACCTCCCCGTCCGCTGTGACAGTAACCTCCTCATCATCTCCAGCGTTTGAAGAAAGCCTCAGCTCCTCAGCCAGCTCCCATGCAGATTCAACGAATCACACGGTAAGTTCGTTGAAAAAGTATTAGGAAGGCTGAACAACTCCACCCAACACCCCCCTTCTACCCACCCACAAACAACAACAAAAAACACTCAAACACCCTCACATCCTAGAATATTAGACTTAGAAAGCAGAGACTGTAGGGGAAAATTAAATGAAAAAAATGAAGATGAAAACTCCCCAAAAACAACAACAGCAACAACAACAAAAGTATGGAAAATTGCAATTTTGTTTTTGTTGTCCACTCTACTCTACTCCACTCCAATCTAAATTTTATTTTTGTTAACCTATTTTTTCATGTACCATCTTTATTTTTTTTTAAACTTTCTTTAGAAAAGACTTTTAATTTTTTTAAAAGCGTTAATGTTGATTTTTATTATAAATATATATATAAAACATGTATGTATGTCCTTGTAAAACCTCAAATGTTTAAGTCACTTGAATTAAGTACCGTAAAATGTGAAATTAACAATAAAAGTCAAACTTTCAGTTATTAAGAAAAACAAACTACAAAAGAAAAAAAGAGGAAACCGAATGCAATTTCATTTGAATAATTTTTTGTTTTTTATTTTTATTATTTTTCATTACAAATCATTAATTTTTATTTTTTGTAATTTCCTAAGAATTTTTTTTTTGTGTATAATATTATTATTGTAGTTTTAAGCTATTAAAAAAAAACAAAAGAGAATCTTTGATGATCTTGAAAAAAAGTTGTATATAAGTTTAGCATATAAATTGTATGTTTTAAGTATAACAAAAAACTGGAAAAAATAAAAAAAACCCACAATTTGTTTTGTGAAAAAATCAATATAAACTGAAAAAATCTGTGTTTTCAAAATTTATTTCGTATATACACATTTTTCCTATTAACTGGAAGTTGGATATCTTCATACTAAAGCCGGGAAAGGGAAGTTATATGGAGTTGACTTTGGATTTTTAGAAGGGTTATAAATGGTTTGGAAAATATTATTTTTAATTTGATTGGGTATTCGGTAATTATAGATTGTGTAGAGTTGATTTTCTTCTAAAGGTATTTAAAATAAATGCGATATTTGCTTTACCAACTGCTTAAAAAGAGATTTTCCAACGCTTAGCCTTCATGCAAAATGCCGTCGGTAAGGGAGTGACAATAAGGCTTGGGTTTCTTTTTCATACAAAGGCAAATTGGTTTGGTGTTAAGAGGCTTAATTGGGAATTATGTAATGAATTAAAGTAAGAAATTGTTTGGAGTAATGTTGAGGAGAGTAAATTTTCAAAATGCAGAAAATAAAAAAAATCAAACGAATTTTTAAATTTCTGGAGTAGAGTTGAATTCCTTTTTTTTTTGGGGAAACTGTAGATATATTTTCAAACTCAAACTGGCTGGCGAATTTTCGAATTTGTGGTTTGAATATTATAAAACCAATATTCATAAATTAGTGGAAATAAATAGGATTTCTTAAAAATAAGTGAGAGAGGTATAAAAATACTTTTTTATCAGGGCCACCATTTAAAAAACTTTACTATTTTCAGTTTATGGTATTGAAAAACACTTAAAACCAATACATTCTTACAGGTTCTGGAACAGAGAATATGTGAATTTTAGCTTAATTAAATTGGAAATTTCGATAAAATCTACTATATCAACATTTTTTAAATTCTTTTTGATCGAAATTTTTTCGACATCAGCAGCGGGAATAGGTAGAGTTTTAAGTAATTTTTTTTTTTTAAACAATGTTTGTTTTTTATTGAAAAAACATGGTAATGCTTATAAGTTTGGCTGTCGAATTTAGAAAAAATAACAAAATACTTTTAGTTTAATTTAATTATTTGTTTCCTCTTCTATTGAGCTTACGATTTCGTCACTGGGGTAAAAAAGTTTTTTGTCGAAGGAATTATTTTAAAATAACTCTTGGGGAGAACAACCCCAGACAAAAAAAAAGGGAACTTATGAGGATTGGCGGCTCTTTCCGAAACGGAAAAACATTTTTAAATAAAAGTATCTGGATTCAAACGTGTTCCCCTTTAAACTGCAAATACCTGTGAGATCGATTGGAGAATACGATAAAGTGAGCATAACCAATTATATGGGGGTCATAACAAAACGAGGACCTTCTTTTTTTGAGGAAAATAATTTTTATCCATGGAAAAATGTGGCGGGATCATTCGAATGGCGTATACCCACAGTTCTATGAAAACCGTGGACCAATATGTTTTGATAGTGGTTGTATAACCCATAGTGAACTACAAATACTGAATTTGAAACAAATCCGATTAAAAATGTGATCTACATGGTAAAAGCACCTTTATTTGGGGGCTATAGAAAAACGTGGATCTATATAAACAATGTTCTACTACCCCTGACAAACTCTAAATATAAAATTTGGAACAATTAGAAAATTTGGCTAAAATCATCAAAATGCCGAATATCGAAAGGTAGCGTGCCGCACGAAAACAAAAACTTGAAAGGATACACTTAATTTTTAATACCAACCATGTCAAATTTACCACTCCACTCTCTCTAAATGCTCTACGTCAGATAATATACTGGGTATCGTGATTTAAACAAACAGACAGACGGTCGTCTTAGCATTATATGCCTATCAGGAGATAAAAAAAAACTGCAACAAAGTCAAACGCAATAATTTTTACATTTTTTTTTTTTTTTTCAATTTTTTGAATAAAAGCAAAATATGTCGGAAATAGCATCAAATTTTAGAATAAGTTTAGATTTGTTGGAATTGGTTACCTTTGGCAGGAATTATGGCTTTCAAACGGCCAATGAAACCGTCACACGCTGCCCGAATTCTGCTCTTCGGTATTTTGGTCCATTCCCGGCGAAGCGCTGCTTGAGGTGATCGTGGTATTTTTGGTGCCAACCTTGTTTTCCAAAATACTCCAGACACAATAGTCCAACGGATTGGTATCCGGAGATTTTGGTGGCCATTGTGCGCTGGAAATGAAGCGAGGAACCTCATTTTCTAACAATTCTTGGGTGGCGCGTACTGAGTGCGATGGTGCTAAGTCCTGTTGGAATGTCCAAGGTCTACGGTCAAAGTTTTAATACATTCTCCAGAATATTTTCGCGATTATTTTAGGCACTTATTCTGATACCACGGTCGATTAATACGAGCGGAGAGCGACCATCGGCTGTTATGATGGCCCACACTATCACCATGGCCGCGCTTGAGTTCTGGTGGCCAACCGAAAGTGCACATTTTCAGCTGACCTCTTTGGCAAGTAAACAAGATTATTTGGTTTGTTTACAAACTGCTGGACAACGAATGTCTATTTGAGTCTATTTTCTTTCTGTTGCGGTGTAAGTTCTTGCACTTCTTGGACTTTTTTCAATATTTGCCGAATGGCTCATTTTTCAATATTTGCCGAATGGAATATTGCGATATGTTCAGCTCACGAGCCATTTTTCGGCCACTGTGACGCGGGTTTCTAACCATTTCTGCCGTCCACTTCCTTGACGTCGAGCTACGATAACAGTATAACACAAACAATTTATTCACATTGAAATGCTAAAGTGCTCTAACGATAGCCACTTGTGGATTTTAAACCAAATATAAAGAAATCCCACTATCATGCTTGAATTCCATCACGAATAACTTTTTTCTGGAAAATTCTCACCACAATGCTTTCGTACGCTTGTAAACAATATAATGAGCGTCTCTGGAATAATTTTAACAGCTGTCGGACGAGTGATTTGGAAATGACAGCAGTCTGAAGTTGGTTTCAGTTTTTTTCATCTCACCCTGTATTTATTTTATCAGAAAAGTGCTGTCTAGGTTCGCGCTTTCGTATAGTTCCCAAATAATATTACCTTAGGGTATCCGGTGTTTTGGGTAGTTTTACCATAATCTCTAACGGATTTGTATGAAATTCGGTATTAAGAGATTTAAACACCATCTACCTACAGTGGCAGAATATTATCTAAATAGGCCAGGTATAGTGTTATACGATTTTCGCCACATCTTTCAATGGATGTATTTTAAATTTGATGTTTGTACCAATCACGGTAGCATAAAATGTTTTAAATTAGACATATTTCTATAATGAAATTGTTTGAAATTTGGTACTTGAAACTCCCGATACTTTTATATTAAAGTATTTATTTTCCTCAATGTGGTAAATTTTAAAGTTCGGACTGACTAGTTGATAAATTACTACCTTTTTCTTTGAATGACAGATTTAGGTTAGTGACAACCTTTACATACGGGCCTTCTTCCTTTTATTATGCATCGGAACAATCTGCTGCCAAACTACCTATCTTATTTATATGAATAGAGAAATATCGGAAATTAAAATCAATGTAATATTTACAGAACAAAGTAAATTTCCAAATTTAAAAAAGTTAAATTCCAAATATCACAATAAATGTTAAAACAGCAGAAAACTGCAATACGTTTTTTTGACAGCATTTTTTTTTCTCAAAATCCAATGATTGCACGTATGCACATGCATTTTTTTAATATTAGTAAAATTGCCATCTGTTCCCCATACAAAGCTGCAACGACGACAACAACAACAATGCCAAAAACCTTGAATAGAATTTGCGTTTGCTTGCAGTTTAAAGGTGACACACACACGAAATTTACATTTAATGCATTTTGCGCCTCGCCATTGTGGAGTAATTTCCTTTGAAACGAACGAACGATTTTATTGTCCGTGCATTTTTTTCCATTTCTATTCAATTCAAAGTAATTTCCATATTTATAAATTGACCCACAATTTTTGTTCGGATAGCCAGAGACGAACAAAGGCAAGAAATATAAAACTGCTTAGAAATGAATTTATTGAAAGAACAAAAAAAGCACCGAATGTGAGACAAAAACGTTTTGTCCCAAATACTTTGCAATGCTAAATGAAAAGTGAAAAAATACAAAAAAGAAAAGATACAAGTGAAGTAATTCAATAATAATAATCGGCAGGGACGGTAATTTGATGGTGCAACTTAGAATAGATGAGGAGAAATTATGTTTTTAACACTTTCTGAGTAGGAATTGAAAATTCTTCAAA